TTGTTCATTTAACAGAGTGTTTCTGAGGTCCATTCATTGTGGCACACCGTGTCTGCTCTTAAGGAACATGTTTTGCCTTGGCCAGAAAGAGGTACTCTGTGCTGATGAGAATGATTTCCAGGGAGATGGGCCTTCAGATGATGAAACATAATGATGGCTAGCATTTCCTGAGTATTTCCGATTATGCCAGGTGTGGTTTCATTCATTATCTTCTGTGGTCTTCCAAGAAGTTCTGTGAGGGAGGTACCGTTAGTGTTAGTGTTTTACATATGAGGAAAGTAAGCATAGAGAGATGAAGGAGCTTGCCCCAGGTTCTAAGAGCTGGGATCAAATTTGGGCCTCCTCTCTGCAGAACTTTGCCTCGGCCAAGACTCAAGACTCCACATTCCCTTAACCCTGTTGATAAAACTTTTTTTGCGGTACGCGGGCCTCTCACTGTTGTGGCCTCTCCCGTTGCGGAGCACAGGCTCCGGACGCGCAGGCTCAGCGGCCATGGCTCACGGGCCCAGCCGCTTCGCGGCATGTGGGATCCTCCCGGACCGGGGCACAAACCCGTGTCCCCTGCATCGGCAGGTGGACTCTCAACCACTGCGCCACCAGGGAAGCCCTTGATAAAACTTTTGACTTCTTAGCCTCAGAAAGGGCTTGGAATCGCAGTTGGAATAAGGCACTTAGCAGGTAAATCTAAAACTGTAGCTTTAAGGAGGATATTTATGACTGCGTTTTAGTTTGGGCATCATCACATGGAAAGGATGATGTCTTAAAGTGATCCTTTAGTGAAGGAGCTTCCTTAGGTATGGTGTGAGCGTGGCACCAAATTCCAAACACAGAATTATGTCATTAGGCAGAGCTTGTGTTTTTGAGTTGGTCTTAAATATTATGTTTATCAGAAGTGCCGTTTCTTTGTATGAAGTTTCCCAAGGCTGTTACCTTGTTAATAATGGGTGGAATTAGGCATCATGTATTTTTCAAAGTGTTTTATGTCATTATATTAGATGCTAATAGAATTTTCCCTTCTATGTAACAATCCTGCATTTAAACAGTAGTTTTTCCAATTCATGTATAGTCCATATTGGAGGATTTTGTGCTCCCCATTGCAGAGGAGTTCTTTGTGCATCACAAATATCTGAACGTTTTGAGAAGATTTTTAAACACTTCATACCTTTCTGTCTGTACACTTGGGTGTGCATCTTGCTTCCTTCTCTCCCATTTCATAGGTACCCTGCTTGCTTCAAATGTTAACTTCTCTGTTCAGAGCATGGATTTTACGCTGTTTACATGAATGGGTTTCCTGTGAAGCCCAAGGCTGCTAGAATCCTGTTGGCTATAATTGTGCTCAAGAACCTGTACATTTCCTCTCTAGATTGCCCCAGGTACTGCCTCTTTTTCTACCAACGAGGATCTCCTGCATCTTCTGACTGAGAGTTTCCCCTTCCTGTGCAGAGCTGGGTGTGGCCCAGCCATCCATGGCTCAGTTTCTGCTCACGGGCCCCGCCCTTTCAATTGGAGAGTGGCTGAATTGCAGTTCCAGACCATCAGAAGGCAAGGGGTGGGGCAGCCCCGGAATATGTAGGACTCCCCATCTTGCCTGCATTGATTTCACCCCTCATTAGCTTAAAAACGTCTTTTGATAGTTGGTTTCTCACACCAGGGTCTGAACAAAGCTCACACACTGCATTTGATATGCCCCATCCTGTTCTCCCTAAGTTATTGCTTTGTGGAAGAAGCAAGTCAGTTGTCTTGTAGACGGTCCCGCATTCTGGATTTGGCTGAGTTTTCTCTTTAAACGTGTTCCATTAACCTCTGTATTTCTGTAACCTGAAAGTTAGAACGAAATTTTTATTAGATTTGTTGATGTAAAACAACCAGTTATTTTCCCAGCAAAATGGGTTTATTTGAGAACAGCAAAGAATCGCAATTTGGAACCTGAAAGTTATGGCGACCCACAGGTTAAGTCCAGAGAACAGAGAAGAGGAACAGTCTTTTATAGAGGAGAAGGATTTGGCCGGGACTTTTATAAACAAAGAGTCCACTGGAGGAAACTGGGAATTCAAAGTATAGTGGCTTTTCATTGGCTGACTTGTGACAGCCTCTCATTGGCTGGGCTGTTGCCAGGCGGAGAAACCCTTCTTTCCTCCTGCTGAGTGGTAAAGTAATAACCTTCTTTCTGTTGGAGATGCAGAGGTATCTCTTTTACTTGGGGTCTGCAGTTGACATAGAGTGGTAGGGCATGAAAACTCCCCCTTCTGGCTTCCTGATTCCATTTTAAATGAGGTTTCTGTTTATTATTTTTCATAGATTCACGTTCAGGTTTAGGGGGGCAAGATTAGTTTGTTGGCCGTGTTGTACACTTCGTGTCCCATCGTCTCAGGACGGTGTCTGGTTGTCTCCCTTGTAGTGATATTGAGGTTGATCGTTGGGTCCATGTGCTGGGAGTTTGATCCTTTCATTGTGAGTTTCCTCATCAACCTTTCTCCCAGGGTCTGTTAGCTTTCATTGAGGACTGTTGCCTGAATTGATCATTTCATTAGAGGTTGATTCTCCTCTCTTAATGAGCCTGTTAGTGAGTGTGAGATGAGATTTAAACTGGCCAGGGTGTCTGCTTAGGGACAGCTAAAGAATTAACAGAGAAGCAATGATTGGCTTGGCTTTATCCAAGCATAGCAAATACTTCCAATACTCAATACTTCATTAGAGCTAATTGCTATTTGCACCACCTTTTATGAATGTTACTGTGCCAGGTTGATTTTATTTTAAGTCTTGTTTAGCAGCAATGTTAAATTCTGTCCGTATTTGCTAACTTGGGTGCTTGGCCATCACCTAAATTAAGAGATTATGACATGGGTTTATGGGTGAGAATGCCAAGTGATGGTGTAGACCATGATAGATTGTGTTCTTCAATAATCATTTAAAATTTCCTGACACGTAAGGACACGTATGCCTCATCTTTCCTTATAAAAGAAGTAAGTCACTGATGAGTTTAAAAATATAGGAGGTGGATGATAAATCTGAAATAGCTGAGTTTCCGTTCTGCCTAGATGGAAGCGAAATGGAACTCTGCTGGCAGCTTTCAACTTCATTGTTAAGATCAGAAAGGATGGATTATTGCATTGTGTCCAGCAGGAAGTAATTGGGAGTTTCTTTTATAGGCGGGGGTGGGGTTGGAGGGTGGGGGGGTCGTAGTAAGTGATTTAATTTGTGTGTGCTTCATCGGCTGCCAGGGGCCACTGGGACATGTTACAGTAGCAATCTGATTTGGGGACAGTCGCAACATTTGAAGGCCCCTGGGATGGAAATATATCAATTCCTCCTGTTACAGGCAAGCCTGCCTTTTGCCAGCACATGTTCCTGGAAACCACAGTGTGCAAACAGTCTTCATAAAGCGGTTCTAGGATCCCCACAGGCACAGTCTCATGATTAGGAGTTGTGCCTTGACTAGACCCTTGGTATCAAATAAATCGTGGCTATGACCAGTAAATCATAAAGGTGTGACAACTAGAAACCTAAAAGAATTTGAAATTAGAAACTACCCTGCATTGTCACAGAGGGTTTGAGCTTGGGGAAGCCTTAGAGATCAAGGGATCATCTAATCTAGACTCCTTATTTCTTTTGGTGAATAAACCACCGCTCAGACGTGTCAACTAGCTTGCCCAAGACCGCACAGCTCGTTATTGGTTGAGTTGGAACTAAAACTCATCCCAGAATAACAATCACTGACACGTGGGTGTCTCTTAAGCACGTGCTAAATGCTTTACATGCATCGTTTCTGTGATCCTTATCCCATCGTGTAGGACTTTAATGGACTGTATTTTACTGAGGAGCACACTGAGGCCTAGAGACTCTCTGTAATTTATCCTAGATAACACAGAACTCAACTACGTTGGCCATCCATACCCGTGGGTTCTGCATCCGTGGTTTCAACCAACTTCTGATTAAAAAAAAAAAAAATTTCTGGAAAGTTCCAAAAGGCAAAACTTGAATTTGCCATGCCCTGGTAATTATTTACATAACATCTACATTGTATGTACAACTATTTACATAGTATTTACATTGTATTAGGTATTATAAGTGATCCAGAGTTGATTTAAAGCGTATGGGAGGCTGTGTTTACGTTATATGCAAATACTTTATGTAAGGAACTTGGGCATCCATGGATTTTGGTATCCACAGGGATCCTGGAACCAGTTCCCCGCCAATACTGAGGGACGACTCTATTCACTACAGAAAATGTGGTTTATCCACCCTATGGTACTGTCTTCTATGTTCGCCATTTCTTCTTTCCTTCCTCTCTTTCTCCTCCTCGTCCTCTTATTATCAATATTATTATTATTATTCTAACTTTATTCTTCTTTTTTTTTTTTTTTTGTGGTACGCTGGCCTCTCGCTGTTGTGGCCTCTCCTGTTGCGGAGCACAGGCTCCGGACGCGCAGGCTCGGCGGCCATGGCTCACGGACCCAGCCGCTCCGCGGCATGTGGGATCTTCCCGGACCGGGGCACGAACCCGTGTCCCCTGCATCGGCAGACGGACTCTCAACCACTGCGCCACCAGGGAAGCCCTAACTTGATTATTCTTATGAAAGGAATTATTCCTAATGGCCCATAAACTTTGCCTTTCCATGGCTTTCCATTTACTCTAAAGATCTATATTAAACCCACCAGCTCTAATATATTGTAAATATAGTCAACGGAAAGTGATGCACTAGCTATAATAAAGGTTGAAACAGTAAGTAACTTTGCTTGAATTCTTAGCATTTAAAAGAGCTTTTGGGGCTTCCCTGGTGGTGCAGTGGTTGAGAGTCCACCTGCTGATGCAGGGGACGCGGGTTCGTGCCCCGGTCCGGGAAGATTCCACATGCCGCGGAGCGGCTGGGCCCGTGAGCCATGGCCGCCGAGCCTGCGCGTCCGGAGCCTGTGCTCCGCAGCGGGAGAGGCCACAACAGTGAGAGGCCTCCGTACCGCAAAAAAAAAAAAAAAAAAGAGCTTTTGGAACTTAAAAAAAATTCCTTTGATCATTCTTTAAAAAAAGAAGATCACCACTTATCCTTTAAGTACTTGAAAACATCACCAAGATATTTCCTTGCAGCAGGTCTGGAGAGCAAAAGTTCCTTCCGTGGGAGCCTCCGCATCTCTAGCTGCCTCTTTACTCCCTCCTCTCTCTAACCTTCCTCCTTCAATCACGTTAGGGACAGTCCTATGGCAGAGATCTTGGCAGGAACAGGTCTACTTTTAGGAGCAAGGGTGTGAAGGGTGGTGGGTGGGGAGCAGAGGTGGTGAGAAGTAGCCTCTGGAACTGGGAGAGGGTGTTGGTGTTGAGCGGTACGCTCTCGTTTTGAAGCCTGCATGGCTCTCACCTTGTTTCCGCCCATGCTGCCCCACAGAGCCCGGTGTGGGTGCCAGAGAGGGGGCATTTCAACTCTATGAACTGTGTCACCTGAGTACATAACGGAGCGGGGAAGTGCGGAGACCCTGGTAACATCCAGGGAAATCTCTACTTGGATGTGGTTTGTACCCTGGTCCAGGGGTGACTTTAAACAGTTTGTGATAAAACAAAAACAGTTGGCTTGGCAGCTCTCCGAATAGGTGCCCAGGTAGAAGTTTTTATTTGTTTATTTTAAATCCTTTTAAATTGCAGTTCTTCATGAGCTTCCTGTGTCAGACATGCAGCTGAATCTGTAATGATGGGCGCTACCAACGCTGCTTTTTTCCCCTCTCCATTTGCGCTCGAAACAAAGCTGCCTGCAGGTATGGTCTGGAAGATGCTGCATGCATGGGCTTCTCGGTGGATGGTGGCACAGAGCTGATTCATTTCAAATACTGCCTATTTATAGCCTCTTCAGAATAATGGTAAGACGGTAGATGTTCTCTCTACCACCACCATGTAGGTTAACATGACTTTTTAAATGGAGATAAATTATGTTTTACTCACAGATGACTCATTTCATAGTCCTTTTTAAATGCACACCCTGCCGTTTCTCTGAAGTGTGTCACTTTAATAATCAGCCCGTGCTGGAGCATTCTCAGTGAGCTGTAGGCTTGGAAGGGGGACGAGGCCTTCCAAAACCTGGAGCTCTGTATGGGAAACTGGTGCTCAGGGAAGCTGAGGACCCCAGCATCTTACAGGTCTCCTTAGTGCAGATCTAGGACCAGAGCTCTCTTCCCTTGACTGCTAATTCAGCACGAGGCTTCCTTTGCTCTGACCTGCCTTGCCTACCCTCACCTACCCCCATGGACCGGCACTTGCCGCCACAAAAGAACAAAAGCAAAAACGAAAGAGAAAACGTCCTCGTTACCGGCATCCTGGAATGTGGGCGATGATTTTATTGCAGCAAAAAAATAATGTTTTAAAGAAAAACCTCAGGTAGTTTTGTCATCCTAAAAAACTTTCTTTTCTTGTTGTGTGTGTTCTTAGTTCTTGTCCGTTCTAATACAAACTCTTAAAAACGTTAAACGTTAAAAATAGTTATTTATACCATAAGCAGAAGCCGAGGTGTTTATTGAAATGTCTGAGAACCTTCTTTGCTGATGCTGTCTGTTGTGCCCGTTTTGAGTTTTAGGGCTAAGCTACTTCCTGTGTGTGCATAAATACATGACGTCTTTCTCTGTAAACAAATACATGAGACTATATTTCTCTAAATTAAAGAATCAATGTATGCGTTCTTTCCACGATTTTGGAGGAGAGCTTCGCACATCACCGTTCCCTGTAAGTCTTCTTTCAAGTGTTTGTTGTCATTGGCTGGTTCTGACATTGGCACACTAGAAAGAGCATGAACCTTATGTCTAGTAGACCTCTGTGAGCCCAGATTTTCTCATCTCTACAATGTGAGTATTAGGCAGGTAAGTCACCTGGCCGGTGTCTGCACGCAGGTGTTGACTAATGTTAGTGTCCTCCCTGTGTCTTCTGCTCTGCTTACACTCGTGTCTGGATGTGATGTCCTACCTGATTATTTTCACCCACCCGATAGAACAAAATGATTCAATTCCATTAGGACTCAATTCAAGGTTGCCCCAGGTTTGGAGTGACTGTCTGCTTCACCCATACCGTCCTCATGGGCCTTCTACCCCTGAAGCGCTGAGCCCGTTGTATAAGCAGAGGTAGATAGAGAGATGGGTTAGGAAGCTGGGGATGAATGGCCAAAGCTGGAGCTCTGGAGCCTAATTGGAGAGTGGACGAGGGACCACTGGGCTCAAGGGTGTGGATGTGCCTGTGAGTCAGCTTGGGTGCTTGACTCAGCCCATAGCAGTGGGCTGGGGTGAACAGAGGTTTAGGACCTATAGGCAGGCAGGGTTCTTAGAAACAAAGACAAGTTCTGTAGAGGAGGAAGGTTTTCAGTGGCCCAGGATGGAAGTGAAGTAGGGAGGATGTGACAGAAGTGAGAGTGAAGCTGTGGGTCAGGCATCTGAGCCACGGAGGAGAGAATCAGGTCAGTAGGTCACCAATAGCCAGGAGTCCACAAGGGTGCTGAATAAAGGCTCTCACCTGTTCATTTGTCGGTTCGTGGGCTCCTGTAAATGCAGGAACTGATTGCTGAGTGAGGGCCCTAAACCCCCAGGCAAGCGGGACCCAGGGTCAACGGTGCATGGCAGGAGAGCAGCCAGGGTCAACGGTGGGACCCAGGGTCAACGGTGCATGGCAGGAGAGCAGCCAGGGTCAACGGTGGGACCCAGGGTCAACGGTGCATGGCAGGAGAGCAGCCAGGGTCAACGGTGGGACCCACGGTCAACGGTGCATGGCAGGAGAGCAGCCACCTGGTCCCTCCTGGTTTGTTGGCGGAGGAGCTTGGTACGCACGTGTCTTCTTCGTCCAGTGTAACTATTAGTAGAGCCTCACCCACACCCAGAGTGACCTGGTCTGGTTGATAGATCATGTAGTCACCCTTCGTGCATGTCCTCAGTTGCAGGTAAGTATTTGCTGTGTGCATGAAAAAAATCCCGATCAGAAGTTGGTCTGACGTGAGGTTCTATGGTGAGCCCGAGGCTTATTACCTGCCTCACTGAGGGAGCTTGGCTACCACCTCGTTGCTCCTTAATTGAACTCTGAAGAACATTCTGCATTACGTTTTTCCACGTTCTTTTCTCTTGGTTTGTCTTCCATGATGGTCTGTTTTGGCAGTGATCTGCTAATGCCATAAACAGTCATCTAGCTGCACCGGCAGGCATCTCTAATTGCACCTGTTTGCCGGGAGCTCCTCAGGAGACCCTGCTGTCTCCCTGGGGCTCCCTGGGGTGCAGTAGCCCCACCTGAGTAACACCTTGGTGTCAGGGGTTGGTGAAGAAAGGAGGAAGAGTAGGATGCTTTGCCTTCTTTAATGGTCATCCTGATGAGAAGGGCTTTGAAGGTCTTGTTTGAGGGTCTGGGTATTGGGGCGTGGGACAGGGGAGGTAGGTAGGGTGGGGTAAGCAGGGCTCAGGGTGCCGTCATGAGGCTGTTGCCAACACACCCCAGGTATTTCTGGTTCCCTTTGGCCTGGATTCTCTGTGCCTTCCGGTAAGAGCTTCATTCCCCGGAAAGAGAGTTGACGGGCTCAGTGATACCACCGTCGCACAGGATTAGCCAGTCAGATAGTTTGACGGCTTTGTTTGTGATGAGATGGGGGGAAAGACTCTGAGGGCTTGCGTGCCCCGGGCTGAGAGAGCAGGCCTCAGCTGCACTTCGCCCCTGTGGGAGGTACTTCTGTACCTTGGGATTTCTCTGTGGTCACTTGCTTGCGGACTGCGCTTTTCCATCTCTGATTGGAAACTCCGAGGGCAGGACCTTGTCATCCTAATCTTGTCCTACCCAGCGTCAGGGCTTCTTCCTAAGTCACTGCTGCTGTTCAGGGTCGGGCATGGATGCTGGCTTCAGACCCTGAGCGTGGCTGTCTGTTGAGTGGTGCTGGGCCAGCTTCATAAAGTTCGTACAGCACCTGAGGAGGGCTGGGCGTCTGCAGTCAGGCTTTGTTTCAGACTCAGTGTGGGTCAGCATCTGAGATGTGCAGAAGCCCCTCGAAGTTCCTTTTAACAGCATCGTTTACTTCTGTTTTTGTATCTTTTTCTTCCCACGTTTCGTGAGCTCAAAACCATCCTTTTTAAGGACTTGCCTTGAAACACACACACAGACACACACACGTCACCACCGCCAACAACAACACAACAGATCCTTTTAGGGGAAAGTGTTGTCCTGTACTGTATCCCCAGGCCCTGGAGCTCAAGAAGAATTGGCCTTGTGATACACTGCAGAGGGTCCCAGCCGTGTCAAAATACAGAAGACCCTTCTGGCGGGTGGACGATCTTGTGTGTCTGTGTGTTTTCCTTTCCTTTGCTTCTGTTGGTGAATTACTTCCACTGTGAATTTCTCCCCATCCTTGCTGGCAGGATGTTGGCAAGTAAATGTGCAGGTTGGTTGGGTGGGACCCTGTCTTCTTCCTGCACCCCACCCACTCTGTCTTTACAATTTGGGTGGGGTGCCGTGTCAGGCCACGACTTCCGTGACCGCCGCCTTTTTTTCTTTTTTAATATCTTTATTAGAGTAGAATTGCTTTACAATGGTGTGTCAGTTTCTGCTTTATAACAAAGTGAATCCCGCGACCCCTTTTTTAAAAACTAGAACAGAGAGCTGTGCCACCAGCGTGTGACCTCCCCTCGATGAAAGGATATTAAAGTGGAAAAGGGCAGTGGGCGGGTGGGCGGTTGCTTGCCCAGGAAAGTGCGTTTGCATCGTGTTTTCAGAGTTCTGTGGTCCACACCGTGCTTCTGCATTTCATGTCACTTGCGGTTAATGAATAGCAGATACTTTTCCTGTCGTCTTTTTGGTTCTGGGTTGCATCCATTTCCCCAAAGAGTCCTGGATCTTAAATAAGACCCAGACTGTCTTATTAGCTAAGTGGAAAAGGAAATGTCCTCCCTGCTCTGCCTGGGTAACTTCCGCCTAATGTGTATTTTTCTCTGTGCAGTTTCTTTAAGTAGAGAAGCAGTGTGAATTGGTGGGCTCTGAATCACGCTGCTTGGTTCCACCTTCTGGGCCTGCAGTTTACTAGCTTTATCAGTGAAATGGGGATAATAATAGTACACACTTCGTAGAGTTTTACAGGAATGCAGCTAGTGCAGCAGCAGAGTGCCTGCATATAAGGCAGCACTCAGTTCAGTGTTGAAAAATGTGGGTATTGCTAATAACATAAACCTCAGTACTCCGGTGCTGTGTTTGGAACTGTTATCCATCTCCTAGGGATATGGTCACCGTCTATTCTTTAATCGTGATCAGAGCGAATTGTTTGAGAACTTGTGCATGCATTTCTGGGGTTGACAAGGAAGAATATTTGAAATTGGGAGTGGCCCAGAAAACCCGGATCCCTTGGAAAACTTGCAGCAAACAGGATGCTGGTAATATGCTCTCTGGTTGGAGACCGGGTTTTATTTTAATGTACCTGGAGTCTTATCTGCTGTCACCAGGACTGCGTCAACAGAATGCCCTAGCTGAAACGGTCAACCTCAGCAAACATCGCATGGAATTTTAAAACCATCTTCCTCAACACCCTTAAGTGTGCCTCCTTACGGTAGTGGCTTTGATTTCAGAACCTGCAGGGGTGGACCCCTGCAGAGGAGCCCAAGTCACACGCCCCTGGGACCTCCCGATGGTTTTATCAGGCGGGCGGGGGACTTCTTTCAGCATCTTTCAGGCCAGTTGATTCCCACAGCGTTTGGTGGCGTGGAACTCTGAGACCTAAATCAGCCGCTGCTACAAGTGAGAGAGTGTGTCAGGAGCTGGCCGCGCCCTGTCACCTCGCAGACCTAGTTTCCAGCCACTTTCCTCTTCCGTGCGCTCCAGCCACACTGGCCTCTTTTCTGTTTTTCCTCTTCACCCTTTACAGAATCAGCCCCCTGACCCTCTTACCCTGCTTACGTGTCCTCTTCCCCCAGGTGCTTGCAGACACCTTGTCTGTTCACCTGTTTCTCGCCCGTCTTCCCCCTGCCCTCGCCCCATCACCAGAATAGAAAGTCCATGAAACCAGGGTTTCCGGCACCGAGACACTGCTTTGTTCTCACAGGCGGGCCTTTGCTAGACCCCCAGGTGCCCTTTCGGTAGGTGGGGTGGTCTCTCCTGCCTCCAAAGCAGCTCAGGGTAAGAGGTCGTTAGGTTTTTTTTAAAAATTTATTTAATTAATTTATTTTTGGCTGCGTTGGGTCTTCATTGCTGCTCATGGGCTTCTCTTGTTGCGGAGCACGGGCTCTAGGCGTGTGGACTTCAGTAGTTGTGGCTCGCGGGCTCAGTAGTTGTGGCTTGCGGGCTTAGTTGCTCCGCAGCATATGGGATCTTCCTGGACCAGGGATCGAACCTGTGTCCCCTGCATTGGCAGGCGGATTCTTAACCACTGCGCCACCAGGGAAGCCCACCCAAGAGGTCGTTAGGTTTTAATCACCGAGGGTAACCGAATCTTCTGTGTTCTCAGTATGCCGGCAGAGGGAAATACTTGGGAAGAACATTCTGCAGAATACTTTATTTTAGGTTCCATCTGGGCATGACGTCAGGATCTTGGGAGGCTAGATGTGAGGATCAGGTTAGCGTTACCTTTCAGTGAATTAAAATGAATGTAAGGCTGGTGAATTCAAGGCCAGGCATAATCCTATGCCTTTGGCCTTTAACGTTTTTTTTTGTTTTTAATAGAAAATAGCCATGTGTTCAATGCACTTTTATTTGTGGGTAAATGAGTATAGGATATTAGCCACAGTGTTGCTCCTTGTTCTTTATATAAAGTCCAAGTGGGGAACTTCTTTGAGACTATTGTTAATGCTATGATATTTTTTTCTTTCTCTTGGGAAGGAAGGTGAAATGCCACTTTTTTTCCTATGAGAAGTATATAACTTTTTTGGGGGGGGTGGTTCTGGCCACTAGGAAGCTCAAAACCACCTTTAACACTCTGATCTGGAAATTGTATTAGCCCTGGTGTATCCCACTTTGGCTGTTTCTTCTGTAGTGTGGCCTTAATGTTTAAATTCTGTTTATCTAGTTGCCTGTATGACTTGTTTCGAGGCATCCTGAATATTCTTTGGAAAGAGCTAGAGGATGACACAGCAGTTTTATCTCCCCTCATCTCCTAATGAGAGGTATTGAATAGCCCATTTGCCTTTGAAATTCTGTTGCCTTGTGTGTTTTTGCTTGGGTAATGCAACTGAGAGAAATTTCTTTATTTGCTTCGGTAGAATTTCCATTTCTTTGGTTGATAAACCCAAGGAAGCCATTTTAGGGTACTTTCCAGCCAGATAGGGAAGTAGGAACTTGTAAATAGTCAGAGTACAATTTTGAGGTGACTTTCTCACTGGTTTTATCTGGTTTATTCCAGTTGCGAGATTTTGGTTACTTTGCAATTGAAGGCTTTAACATAAATACACACTGTTGTAGGGAGACCAGATAACTCACATCTGCATATTAAAATACAATTTCTTAAGCGTTGCTGTTTCCGGAGGATTCGAGTGTTTTCGTTCAGTAACTTAGGCACCTTCCTGTGTTCAAAGATTTACCCTAATTGCTGTGAATGTTTACAAGCGATGCTTGAATAGCTGAACCTACTTTCGAGAAGCTTATATTCTAATAAATTAGTTTTCATAATTGGTGTGTCAAATTGGTACCTATTTCATAAGCAATTAAGGAAATATCTTTCCCCTTAGAGGATCAGTTCATTTACTGACGTGTCATACGATGAGTAGGTCTTTTCCAGGTGTTTGGAACAGGAGGTTTTTCTGAGAGACAGAAATTAATAGAAAGTGAGTGTGGTATTTTGCTGTGTTATGATTTTGGGAAAGTCTTAAAATGAAATTTGTGAACAAGGCTCTCATTTTTAGTGTGCATTGAAATGAAAATATTCTGTA